TTTAATTGTGTTTTTACTCACTTTTTAAACTTTTTTGGTGAATGAGTAGGGGTACTATGTACTCATTCACATAGGGGGTGGGATCTGGGGGGCCCCTTGTTGAAAGGGGCGTCCAGATTCTGATAATCACCCCCTCACAGACCCCCACAACCACAGCATGTGGCTTTGTATTGTTTGGGTGGGTGCTCGCTCATCCCCCCTTTTCCTGGTCAGCTGGGCTGCATGCTCAGATATTGTATACTGGTTTTTAAGGACGCCAGTGGTTGCCCACCCACTCCTTAACGACCAGCTAAAGTCGCACAAAATGCATACAAATTGCCATAAAAAAATGCATAAAAAACAAATGTGCAAAATGCACTCTGCATGGATGTGAACCGAGCTTTAAACCCTTAAGGTAGCCCTGTTTTTAAATGGACACAGCATGCAGTTTTTCAGCCCAAAAATCCACAGTTGAATATATTTCACTTTCATTTTTCATATCACTAGAAAAAAGAAAAAAAAAGAAAAATATTGTCCTGCTCCATAGAATGTATGTGCATTTACTAGGCATCAGTTTAACAGGGAGAAACTAGGCAGGTTCTAATCAAGAAATTACAATTAGAATGCACTGTTTTAGAGAGAAAATAGCCACAAATATCCTTGATTGCCAGGGCAGTGGAATAGGCTTCAAGCTAGGAGACACAGAACATGATTTACCCTACAGTAAACACTATAAATTTTGCAGCTAAGTGCCAGCTGGGGAAACATTATGTGTGGCACCTTTACAGTAGTTGATCATACACAGAAAACTTTGAGACACAATACAGGATTGACCCTGCAGAAAAAATACAAACTTTGCAGCTGTGGCCCACTTGCCAAAAAAATTGTGTTGCACCTTTGCATCAATAAGTCAGCCACCGCTGCTAAAACTTTCAGTAACCTGAATATTGGAGGCATGTTGGCTATGAAAGGAAATCCTGACACTTTCTGGAAAGGTGGCCAAGAGGTTTTTCCATGGCATCTCCTCCAAATTATGCATTTTGTGCTCTCTCTGCACTGACAGCATGAGATCTGTATATCAGAGATCAAAAAGGGTGGCCAACCAGTTATGGTCCCTCTACTTCATGGCCCAAATCCCAGGGTCTTCTAGCAGGCACATCAGCCTGAATTATCCCATTTGTCACAAATTTGCCACAAGTCTTTAGTGTAGCTGATGACAACAATGTCCGTAATAATCTTACCCACCCAAATACAACTCTTGAGGTTAGAAAAGGGTGAAATGTGTTCTCTGGTAGCTTGCCCCGATTTCCCTCATACTACCCCCCCACCCCACCCCACCCCACCTGCTGTTGCCAAACAGGTTTGGATTAATTTGTGAAAAGATTCTGATGGCCCTGAGACACCAGGAAGTCATCCTATTCATCTTCATGCTGTGATGTCAGTGCCTGGCCTATCACACCACATGATGTGTGCTCCAGAAGGAACATCAGACTCATCATAGCTCACCATTCTGGACATCTCTTTGAAAAGTGACAGGATGATACATGTATCCTGAATGAGAAACCACTCACAGGATGAAAAGAACTGTAAATCTCCAAAGCCTGTTGTAGTTCCATGCTTGCACATATACTTATTGATTGCCCACTACTACAAGTGCAGTCACTGCAGAATGGTAAACATCAACTTCCAGTGTGTGCGTGTATCACATATCAGGTGGTTGGCATTTCAGCCAGGGGAGAACTTGCAGCTAAAGTGGCTGCACACTCTTCTGGTCTTCTGCAGAACATCCTGGAAACCATAGTAAATAATTAACAACCCCAGGTTGACAATGTGTGCCAGTATGTGAACTTTCCCTGCCAAAGGGAATACAGCAGGTTAATGCTGTTGTCACACACATTTTCTGGCACAGGATGCAGTAGGGTCAGCCACCTCTCAGAATGCCTCTGAAGAGTTGAGAGAATCTTATGCTCCAGTGTGGCTAATGTCCCCTATGCATACCAGCTGCATAAAAGCTTTTGGTTATTGGTGGTTCTGATGAGTCACAGTATGAAGCCGATTGAGCAGGATGGGATAAAAGGGACTGAGTTGCCACCATCACTACAGTGCACCAGCACCAGCATCAGCAGTGTACCTCAACCTGCATGCTTTCCATCCCCCAGAAAATATATCCAGTGTGCCATAAAAGAAATGTACTGTCCCTGCCAGTGCTTGCTGGACCACACATCTGTGGTCATATGAACCCTGCCACTGACCAGCAACACAGAGAAATTACATTCCTTATGGTGGTGGAGGGCACATATAGCATATAGGGGCAAAAAAAATTATAATTAAGTACCTGTCACTGTGGTGCAGCACAGGCAACAAAGTTATGGAAGGGTTCAGACTCCACCAGCAGTAAAGTCAGCAATTTTGCCAAGCTTTCACTGAGGCAACGTGGGTGATTGAATTACACTTTTTTTTGCACTCTAGCAGGTGGATTTAAACTTATGCTTTGCCCTACTCTGCAAGGCCCCATATTGACCCCCCCCCCCCGCTTGATATGTCATAAGATAAGCTTCTCATACCCTTTGGCCGACTTCCATCCCTATCATTTGAGGCTGCAGATATAGTGGAAGCAGATGGTGATTATTGTGGAGCGGTGGAGAAATGGAAACAGAGGATTGAGGAGTATGGGGAGTGTGAGTCTTTTGCTGCCATCGGTATCATTTATGTGATGCTCCCACCTAGTTTTGTGGTGAAACATTGGTTGTTTCCCCATGGACGTGGTACCCAAATGAGAGCTACATACATATATATATATATATATATATATATATATAGTACAATGCTTGATACACTTCAATCAGAGACTGCAAACTGAAAGCTTTCTGGTCTACTAAAAAGAAACAATGACAGTAAATGCATTCCTTATTCACAAGCAACTATTTCCTAAAATGAGCACAAAGCATAGGAAAGAATCATACATAAAAAAGTTATAGAGGAAACAGGCAAGGTATACTGTTTATACAAGTAACATGACCTGTACTAATAAGCAGATGTAATCTACTAGGGGCAGATTCACCAAGCGGTAATTCCAATGAGAATAAAGCACCTTGATGTTGGTGGATCCTGAGTAATCAACCACGTGATAAGTGCTATATACCATTCTGTGCATAGAGGCTGTGATATTGACTGTAGTTGTTAGTAATCATCATCATTGGGCACTATGCAAAGCTACTAGATTATATGACACACAGTGGACAATTTTGATTGGTTAGGAGGGAGTTATTAAGTTCAGATAGTATTTATACAGGTTGCTGCTATTTGATTGCATGTAGTGAGCATAAAAAATGAGTGGCAGATATCAAAATCTGCTTAAGAGCTGTTACCAGCTCTTCTGTAGCAGTGAATATTGTGAACACATATGGATGTCTCACTGCTATATAAACTACAGAATATTCATGACCTTGTGATTAACTGGAAATAATGGCAAAATACACCATGAAAATTCCCATTTAAGGCCTAATAGACAAAGAAATGACTTATGGCATCCACATTATAACCTATACAGGTGATGGACCACTAAGGAGATGAGAGATGGTTACATATGTGGATGTTTTAGATTGCTGAACTAATGGGCACATCATATGTGGACATTATAAAGTCATAATGATATCCAGTGGCCACTTCTTGATTGGCAATGCATGACAGACCTACAATATATCCTATGAAGTGGAATTTGACTGCTTACGCAATATTTTGTAGAAAAAGCAATTAATGGACAGCTCTTCAAAAATACAGTTAACTATGGCAGGCTTCTGAGCTTCAGGAGCAGAATATAAAGACTGATAATGATTGTACATGCCTAGTCCCATGGACTTGAAGGCAATCTTGATTAATCTGATATCACTATTTTTAGTTGTGACTATATGAATATGTCCATTATTAACCATTTATTAAAAGGCAGTTATATACTTTGTCTATGATTCTGAATGCCATGCACAGTTCAAGTAGCCTATTATAATATTTAAGACTTATACTGTATATCTGGCCAATGGTGTGGATTGATCCTAGTGTACAGATGCCCTTCTATCACTATATGTGATTATATGCTTTGATTTTATGTGGTATTATATGCAAATGTATACCTCTAAAAATTGGCCTCCTATTTGTTATCTATAACATTAATTGGTTAACAGAGAGGCTTGGGAATCAGGAGTATTTTTTGCATCCCTGATACTTAAAGAAGTATTGAAGCCAAAAACAAAAATGTAATATATTGCAGCTGACCAATCAATAAATGTGGTTGCTGCAGGGGCAGACTGATAACTCATGGGGCCCCCGGGCAATAGGAGATCATGGGGCCTCCTGTGTCCCCACCCACACTCAAGCCACACCCACACATAGCCCCACCTACTTATTGCACTGCCCATATTACATGCGTTCGTCCCTACTCCCTTAACCTCCCTAGTGGTATGATTATGTCCATATTTCTGTGCTCAAAGCGGTACATTTTTTTGCATGGAAATATGTATTTTTTTTTATTGTAAGCCTGTAATTTTTAGGAATAACTCACTGAAATCTGTCCGAACAAGAGTCTAGTAAACATCCCGGGTATGTTACAATTTGAAACACAAAATCATAAATTATAATTTAATAAATAATCATACAAAATAATATAATAATAATAAATTTAATTCAATAATATAATCAAACCAAAAACACTGAAATTTGAAATATAGCGCCAAGTTCGCACATCACTGAGCAAAGTCGCAGAATCATTTTCAGTGTCTGATGATGAATTTCCCCAAGAATCACTATCACTCAATTCTGCAAGTGGTTCTGATTTACTATCGCTGTTCTCTAGCTGGTCTAAAAATGCTTTTGACCTAAAGGGACGCTTTTTGGATGCCACCTGGACATTTCTCAGTTTCCAGGCAGAAAGAACAGTAAAAATGCAGGCAGGGTACAGGACAAAGCACTCAGGACAAAATGTATGTGAAATGGTTTGGTACAGTAATGTTTTACTACTGTATGTGATTTTAGTAATTTTAGTGAATGTCACTTTTTGTCATTTTCAAATTTCCCACCGTTTCGTCCCCGTACGTCCCGACGCTCGCAGGGGATGGAACCCAGATGACAGATGCCGGCATCCGTCGGATTACATTGCCGGGGATACTGCAGGGACATTGTGGGAGCGCAGGACAAGGTAAGTGATCGAGGGTTCGCGGAGCAACGCCGCATGGTAAGCCCGAGTGTAGCTCGGGGTTACTGCTTGTGGTACTGAAACTTTACCCCGAGCTACACTCGGGAATAGGTTAAGCTGCAGATTTCAAGTGAATGGGGCCACTCTGCAAACACCCTGCAACCATGTGCAATGTACACAGTTGCAGCGTGCTAGTGTGGAATCCAAGGGGTTAAAGCAGGTGTTGAAGAGGCAAGACAACACCTCCTCACAGCCTGCTTTAACCCCTTGATTGCTGTACTGCACACGGTTTCAGGGTCCTTGCAGAGTGACCCCAATCACTTGAATTTGTCACGCCTGGCAGGCGCTACACCTGCCAAGCCTAACAGGGTGTATAATTTCTCCTGCAGCTGCAACATGTGTACACCCCTGGCCACTGCACCTAAAAAGGGTTCAGTTGGGGGAGGTAAAAACAGGGCTCAACTATAAGGCTTTACCACCCCCGAACTGCAAACATAAACAAGCCCTTACTGTTCTAGGCCCCTTATCACAGTTGCTTTTTAGGGGACCCTGGAATGAGGACAGAGAGCGACCTTGAGATGTGGACAGAGAGGCGCCCCTAGAATGAGGACAGAGAGGGGCCCTAGGATGAGGACAGACAGGGGCCCCTGGGATGAACACAGAGATGGACCCTAGGATGGAGACAGAGAGTGGCCCCTGGTATAAGGACAGAGAGGGGCCCCTAATATGGCGACAGAAAGAGCCCCCTGGGATGAGGACAGAGAGGGGCCCCTGGGATGAGGACAGAGAGGGACCCTAGGATGAAGACAGAGAGAGGCCCCTGGGATGAGTTAAGAGAGGGACCCTAGGATGAGGACAGAGAGAGGTCCCTGGGATGAGTGAGGACAGAGAGGGGCCCCTGGGATGAGGACAGAAAGGGGCACCTGGAATGAGGATAGAGAGGGGCCCCTGGGATGAGGACAGAGAGGGGCACCTGGAATGAGGATAGAGAGGGGCCCCTGGGATGAGGACAGAGGTCCCTTCTCACGTGTTCCATGCCTATTGCCCCTCTGTGGCAGGCAGCATCTCTTTGATTTGGGGGAGAGGAGGGTAGGAGGATAGGTGCTGAGGGGGTGCTTTGGGAGGGGAGAGGACTTGTGCTAGTGGGGGGGGGGGAGGGTCGGATTTCAGATCCCTCCATCCCACTAGCCAGCACAAGTCCTCTCCCCTTCCAAATCACCCCCTCAGCACCTATCCTCCTACCCTCCTCTCCCATCACTCCTCCCAGTGTGCATCCTTGTTACCTGCTCCCCACTTCCCAGTTACTGTGTTGCCCTCCTCTGTATCCATCCATAAACTATACACAGACCTCAGATAACCAGTGCGGCTCTTGCAGTGTAATATCCCTCCTCCCTGGCTCCTCCTCCTCCTATCTGTATACATGAGAACATCAGCGCTGAGGAGAGAGAGGAGGATCCCTAGTGCGCTGTTTGGTGTGCGGGCTGTCAATGGAGAGAGATGCTGGTGTTGGCTGCAACAGAGGAGCAATCACCGCACGTGGGACCCCGGGCAACGCGCAAGAGATGTGGGGAAGGTGACCCTAGTGGTAACTGGCCTGACAGGGGCTCCGGGATTCAGCACAGGTTAGTCAGGATGAAGGTACCAGGAGCCTCTCATGAGGCCCCCTACTGGCCCCGGGCCCTCGGTCAGTGCCTGAGTGCCCTAATGGTCAGTCTGCCCCTGGGTGGCTGCATTTGTTTTAGTTTTTAGTTTTTTCCCCTTATTTTCATCTGATGATCCCACATTTAACACTCTTCCTGTGTAATGGTGTTTGCATTCTGGATGGAGGATCAATGGAGCCACAGCATCATCAATCCACGAAAAGGGAAATGTTAGGCTAACAAATTATAGGCTAGCTCTAGCTAACACATTTTAAGCAGTTTCAACAACAATTTATTTTTTCTTTTTTTGCATTAAAGGTTTTGCATAAATGAATAAAAGTTGACCATTGTAAAAAGGTGTCAGATTTAAAGTGAAACTAAACTTATTGATTGTAACTGCTTCCAAAAACCGTTACATTCAAGGCATGTCATTCATGAATGATAACTGTCACAGGTGCTTGACCGCTCAACTGAACTGTCATGCCATCAAATGGCTTGTGTCATAACTGATAACTTGTGCAGCACCATGGCAACCATAGATCAAACAGAGGCTAAGATGGCAGCCCCCTTTGTTGTTGTGAAGGAGGGGGGTGGGTAGTTTCACTTTAGTCTCAACACATTAACTGTCACTTTTGCTGGACAGCTTGGTCTGTTATAGGAAGTTGAAAAATAACAGGCTAACTGGCCAGATCACCAGGTAAAACAAAATCCTAACAAAAAGAACTAATGTAGACACCACATCTAAGAATATGTAAGGGGCAATATAAAACATTTACATTTTTTGGTTTTAAACCAATGTAAGGCCTTTTGTTCCTTTAATAGCCAGATCATTAAAGTGATGATAACGATGGTTTTTTACTAAGAATACAGAATCTGGTGCAGCTCTGTATAGAAACCAATCAGCTTCCAGGATTTATTGTCAAAGCTTAAGTGAACAAGCTGAAAGTTAGAAACTGATTGGCTATCATGCAGAGCTGCACCAGATTTTGGGCGCTCCAGTTTTAGTAAATCTCCCCCAATGTTTAATTGTCATTATCACTTCTATTTATGTATAAAGACCATGCCACTGAATTTACTTTGATATAAAAAAAAAATCATCTGAGTATTTTATTTAATCATTGCTTTTCAGCAATCACATGACATTTCCAGGTCTTTCCTATCCTCAGGGAAAGATCTGAGAGAGGAGTTCTTAGTACTTTACTAATGTATGTTCTATAGCAGCATGGGAAGTCTTGACTATGAATCTATGTTTACACAGTGCTGATATTTCAAAGCAAATTTTTTTTTTTTTTTTTGCAGTAACATGGTGTATGTTGACTGACAATGTCTTTCAACTTGTTCACACTGTAAAAATATCAAGAGGAGATTCTACCAAATAACAGATTGTATCATGCCCCCTAAAGTCTCTGTGTATGATGTGTATGTGCAGGGACTAACATGGAGGTGAAACCTTCATTAATCATCTTACTTTATATATCTTGCCCCCACAGTGTTTAGCAGTTCAAGGACATGGAGGAGGTGGGAAGAAGGAGACTGTCGTTTACCATTGTGTATACGGCCACATGTGTGTTTCTATAGTCACGTGGGCTATACAGATAAGAAGGGAGGAAATAAACAGCTTAGAAGGGAACTGAAACTGGAGCATGCTCAGTAGATATGACAAAGAGAGAAGGCCAGTGAACAGCAGGATCAATCAAGTGTTTTGCAATCCACAGAAAATGAAGCTCTAGTGGCAACGTGTGTAATATAGCATGTATTGCCAGTTTATAATGATTTGGGTTTAATGACAATTTAAACACCAGGATCATTATTGAGTATTTTGCATGAATGTACATCCAGGATCCATGTGTAGGTACAGTAGCTGTGCTGTGTCATTATTATAGGACATGTGTGTCATTTTGCAGCAACTAAATGACTGTATTTGGCTATTTTCTGAAATGACATCCACACCACCAAAGCACAAGTGTGTGCAGAAAGATTTCGCTTCAGTCAGCATTCAACAACGTATTGCATTGATTTAGGTGGTTCAGATGTTTCCCCAGATAAAATAATGAGGCTTAATTAAGAAAACAGCCAGATGCAGCCATCAATGTAACTACACAATACCTGCAAAAAAAATCAGTCTATGAATACTCTCAAGGTACCCATAGGCAATTGTTAAAGACGACTAGAGATTTCTCAGCAGAAATTGTTTTGTTGTTGAACAGTGAGCAATAAACAAATTCAGCTGATACGATCAAGCTAGATTGTTTTGTTGTTCTTTTTCCTGAGATAAAAATGAATCCAACATTCTTCATTACATAAAAGTCAGCCTTTCAATCAAAAAAAAATCAGTAGTTCAGCACTGTAGAATTTCTATAGATAAAGCCTTTTCTTTTGTAGTTCACTGTTGTTTTTTTCTCCACTGCATTAATGTGCCCTGCATAGTACATTCAAATCTACATTATAGACTGTAATAATTTCAGCCCCAGGTACATAATTAGTCCAACATTCTTCACTAAATAATGATAAAAATCAGTCATAATACATTATAAGTCCCCATGCACACTGAATGTTTTTACAGCTGCTGTTCTTGGCTTTTGATGTTTTTTTCTACAGCCAATAAACTCCCCAGCATGTTATCCTATGTGTCCATGCACACATAGGCTGTAATCAGCGTTTTTTGGCAGGGGCGTTTTTTGGCTGTCAAACATATAATGGTATAATCATTTAACAATTGTTTTAATAAAAAAATGTAAACTTTTAAAGATGGGTTTAGTTAACCACTTCTACAGGGCGGCAGGGGTGCACAAAATCATATATATATATATATATATATATATATATATGTGTGTGTGTGTGTGTGTGTGTGTGTGATTTTGCATTTTTCGTGCCCTACCTGTGGCATTGTTCGTGGCTGCAGCTGTCGAACACCAGCTGACCGCCAGCACCTGGTGATTACCAAGTATCTCCGATGGGGAGGAAGACAATCTTCCTGTCAGCACCTGTGGTAGTGAGCTCTTGTTCCACAGCTTGGGGTTCCCTAGGGTGCAGAGTCGAAGCCCCAGCCTGCTTGTTCACCAGGGCCCCTGATGCTGGGGATGGACTTGCAGCAGGCTGGGACCAGGTCGCGGCCCCCAGGTACACGCAGCTGAGGTAGAGGAGACCGCTAGCGGGAGCAGGGTACAATGGGAGAAGACACAGGGAATCCAGTAGGCAAGCCGAGGTCAGGACAGGCGGAAAACAAGCAAGGTCAGGAATGAAGCCGGGGTCGGTACAGAGATAGACAATATAGGATTCACAATAGTAACACAAGGGATCTCCAACAACAACACATTGCTCAGGCAAAGTAAGCCAGACTGAGCATGTCTTATATAGACAAGCCAGCTAGGAGGCGGGTCAGGAAGTGATAGAAGGGAAGGACATAGAACCCAGGGAATAGCAGACGGCGCCCACAGGTGAGCACAGACAAACACACATGTGAAGGAATCAAAAGCAGCAAGGAGGTAAGAATAAACACACAAGAGGCTGCAGGCTAACTTGTGACACTTCCTCCTTGTCAGCTCAGGCACACTGCAATGTGCTTACAGTGAAGCACACACCTCCCACCCCCTAGTAAAACACTCCCTATACATGGCTTTGATTGCCCCTCATATGAACCCCTTCCTGCCCAGTGCCATTAGTACAGTGTCAGGTTTTTTTTTTAGCTCTGATCACTGTATTGGTGTCACTGGGGATGTTAGTGACACCAAGACAGTTCCCCCCCCAGTGTCAGAATGTCCGCCGTAGTCCTGCAGTCCTGCTAAAAGTCGCTGATCACCGCCATTACTAGTAGAAAAAAAAATGCAAGTATCTATACTGCCATTTGTAAATGCTATAACTTTCACGTAAACCAATTAATTTACATGTATTGTGATTTTTTTTTTTTTAGCAAAGACATGTAGCAGAATACATTTTTGTGTAATTTTATGACGAAATTTGATTTTTTAAAATTTTTTTACTGAACATGTTTAATAGCAAAAAGTTCAAAATATTGTTTTTGTTGTTTTTCTCAAAATTGTCAGTCTTTTTATTTAAAAAAAAAAAAATGCACAGGCAATTAAATACCACCAAAAGAAATCTCAATTCATGGGAAAAAAGGACGTAAATTTCATTTGGGTGTAGCATTGCATGACTGTGCAGTTAAAGTAACGCAGCGCCGTAACGTAAACAAATCACCTATTCAGGAAGGAAGGGTAAATCCTCAGGAGGGTAAGAGGTTAAACTATGGTTTTTAATCAACAAAGATTGATTGCACATGGTGATAAAGGGATTCAAGCAAATTTAATTTTTCGTTAATAACTGGACTAACTAGTCTTAAAAATGTCCCCTCCCCTGCTAACACCTATACTGATTAACCTGGGTAAGAAAGATGTGTATATTTACCTATTCTCAGCCCATGCTAGTCCGGTCATTTGATCTCCTGTGTCAGTCATTGGTGGCTGCAGCGGAGAGGAGAGTGCACTTGACCATGGCTGGAATGCCTCGGAGCGGTGAAGTCACACATGTCCCAGTCATTGTCAATGTCCCTGCTCTCCCCTGCAGCTGCTGCTGGATGACACAGGGGATCTGGATCACGTGACCAGATGGGATCGGGCTGAAGTATAAGTATACACATCTTTTTTTACACACAGGTTAGTCAGCATAGGTGTGGGGAAAGGGGGGGGGGGTCATCACTTTAGATCAACCCCTTCCCTCCATCTATATAGATGTTCATCAGTACATAACCCATCCACAGTAATGACACCTGAGGCTAAATCGCCCAGCGGAGTCACGGTCAACAAACCCTTCCATACTCTTTCCAAAGCTAAAAGGTTTTGGTTGAAATTGGGCTTAAAATTGTATCTACAGTATATCCAAAACTTTTTTTTCTAGTTTTAGATAGAGTGGGAAAGAGTTAGAACCTCTCTCACATTGCACTACTGTCCAGAGAGAGATTTAGAGAGATTTCCCTTGTCTCACTTCCTGTGTGCTAAAATGGCAGGACGTGAGGGAACATCTCCTACAGGGAAATAGAAAACAATAAAAAGTTCATAGAGTGTTAGCATTCCCCTACAAAACATAAAATAAAAAGCTTTTACTTCTGTCTGTTGTTGTTGGAGAGTTTTCTTAATTTCCTCCCTTATGAAAAGGATGTCCATGGGAAAAATTCTCTAATGGATTCCCAAAAAGTAGTAAAACACTCCCTTTTAGATTGTAAGCTCACAGGAGCAGGGTCCTCCTAATTCTTTTGTATTGATTTGCATTGTTGCTGTATAAAACAACAAACAGAAAATTGATGTTGCACTAATCACAATAATGCCACAGACATTCCAAGACAAATAGTGAGATGAGAAGACAATAGGCGAAATAATAAAGGTCCAAAATGAGGACCAAAAGGTGTAACAGACAATAAACCGTGACAGTGAGCAAAACGCACGGAAATGATCAGGGAAAGATAAAATATTAACTAAATCACAGTAATAATGGGACATTAGAGTCCGTCATAACATAAATGAAATAACGTGAATACAACTAATGAGAAATGGAGCAAAATGTGAAAAATACAAAATGAAGTGCTTAAATATTAAAAGTGGACAAACCACTTATCACAGAAGAATGACAATAACAACGCATAGCAAGGCCAAAAAATGTGACCATGTTATTTATTTCTTCATTGTGTTATTGTATTTTATGGTGCACAGTAATACATTGATTTGGTTTCACTGTGTGTTTGTATCACCATTTTCTGTTTTTATACTAATTGCACTCCATATACTGTATGTTTGCCACATTTATTTATGGTATTTATATGGTCACTTATTAGTCGTTTTATGTCACATGTCACATGGCCTTTTGATGCATATTGTGTTATGATCCTATACTCACATGGTCACATTTTTTTGGCCTCACTGTGCGTTGTTAATGTCATTCTTCTGTGATAAATGGTTATCAACTGTTAACCTCCCTA